ATTATGCGTGGTTGCCACGTACGGCCCCGTGAAAATTTTTGGCGGGAAAATGGCTAACTCCGGAACAAAGGAAGCTGGGAGACTGAAACTTTCAGGAAATGTTTCCAACTCAAATTGTGCGTGGCCCCCATGAAATTTTCAGGCTAGAATTTGGATAACTCGGGAACTGAGAAAGTTGGGAACCTGGGATTTCAAGCGGATGTTCTATGTCCAAGTATAGCGTGGATAATTAAATTCCCGAAATTCGAGGACCAGTATGCACAAGAGGTTTCTAGCTAGCGGAATTTCGAGTGATGTTATTGCAGCACGAGACACTGCTAAAACGCATAGTCGCACGGGCCCGCCCAGTGCGCGTCGCAGTGATTGATAAATCCAGCGAGCCAGGAAAAGCTGGAAAACGAAGGGAGAATGCCGCAGACCATCAAGGAAGAGAAAGGGACTTGCTAAATTTTGCATTTGAACGAAAAAGGGACTTTTAAGAATGCCACTTATTGATAAATTGGTTTAGAAAAGAGGTCATCGATGTTCATTATGTCGTTCCCCTCTTTTTTTAATAATAATGCCTTAACTTACAAATTTATTTCATCAGACATCTTGCAGCCCCTGGCTTCTGGATGATGGGCTGATGGAGATTTTGGCAATTTTGCGAGGAAAAAAGTGTTGGAAAATATTTGAAAAATCTCTAATACCGTTTTCTCCTTTCTTCTCAGTACAAAAATCCGGAAAATTTTTCAAAAAAAATTATTAATTGCTCCAAGGAACATTCGCAACAAATTTGTTCCGCACTTTCCTCTCATACCTCATAAAAAAAAATTTCTTTCTCGATGAGGAGAGAAGGTAATTGTGGGGAAAAGGGAAAGGAAGAACTGGATTGCAATTATGACATGTACTGCTCATACAGCTCCACAAAGTTCACTAGTTTATTTAACATATAAGAACATCCAGGCAACATATATGTATAATCAACAAAGGGCACTGGTGATGAATGTTCAATATAAGGCATTTCACCCGTTTTTTTTTAAACAATAACAAATTGCACTTAATAAAGCAATACATTTTAAAACTTGAAAAAATTCGCTTGAGGTGAAAAGTAAAAGAAGCAAAGGCAAATAAAAACATTTTTTACCGAATGCATGCCCGTTCACTCAAAAAAATTTTTTTTTTTGCTTTTGTCCTTTCAAACGAAACGAACATCAGGACTGCCTGGTAGTTGACCATCAGAATATGCAGCATAGGTCAAAGCAACTGGAAAAGTTAGCAGTTGCATAACTGCAGAATTACGCCGTGAATTCTAGCTGTTCAAAGTATAAAATGTCATTACGAAGTGTTATACACTCTTCAGAAACAAATGAGAAGGGATTACATTATTGACAATAACGGAAGTGATGAAAATGCTGGTCAAAATATCAAAGTAAGCATCAATTTAACAAACTCGATACTTATATATCTTAATTTTCATAGGACTTTTTCGAAATTTACACCAAATGTGTTATCGGTGCATCTTTGTGATGCAACTTCGCAACATCACTTCGAATCCTTGCGCTGTCCACAGACTCCAAAAAATGCTTACAATTAAACGCCAGCCGATGGGTTATTTTCAGAATTTCTCTCTGTACAGCTTCGTAAGCTTCCTAAAATAACACCTAATTATCAATAACAAGCAGTTCTATTTTGTTGCATTGATTTCTGCTGATTCGTTCCATTTCTTTCTCTTTTTTCGTTCCAGCCGCTCAATATCATCTCTTTCTCTTTTTATGCGTTTTTTGCATCTATGCAATGAAGAAAACACATATTGACAAGGGGTTGTCTGTCTGTGCCTGTCACGGTTTTTCATCTCAAGACTTACAAAAGCTATAGGGCTGAAACTTTGGGAACTTTATCTACATGCACGTACGAGCCCAAATCCCCAAAATCGGCGCCCTTACCCGCGTGGTACCCATGTACGGGCCCATGAAAATTTTTTTCAAGTAAGTTGTTGACTCGGGAGCCAGGAAAGCTAGAAAACTGAAATTTTAAAGGGGTGTTTCTTGACAGTTCTGGCGGCCAGTCCTAAACTGTTTAGCTAGCATTTACCGGAAATATCAGTGCCGGTATCGACAAAAACTGCGAGGAATTATGCAAAAAACGCATCTTCGCAAGCCGGTGCGTTGGCCAATCATTTGTTTTTTTTATAATTATATCAAATTTTTTAATACTCAAGAAATTCACTTCAAGGAAAACACTTCACACATAATTTACAAACACTTATTTTACAATACCCTCGTAATGATAAGGTCCAGCAGTATTGCTGAAAAGCATACGATTTAATGGACCGAGACATTCCTGTTCATTTGACTATTTCTTGACATGCTTTTTGTGATATATTTTTATATTTTATATATACATCATCACCACTACATTTACCTTATGTTTTCTTCTGGATTTTACGACCAGTTCATTATGTATGAAGAAGTTTGTGTTAATTAGTTTCAACTTAAAAAACCTAATTCTACCTCACTAATATCTTCATCCACCGCTTTTTTCATAGCGTCGGTTAGGCTGCGCATATCCGAATCAAGAAGGGCTTCTACCAACTTCACTTCTCGTTGATCTGGTAATTTCAAAAGGTTTACATGCCGCGGTATTTCGACAAACAAATTTTTCAGTTCGTCCGTGATAGTCTGGAAAAAATAAACCAATAATTACTCATCTAAATAGAAAACCCATGAACAAGACGAAAGAACTTCGTAGCATTTCTCTTTTTTTCGATGTGCTTTTCGATCAAATGGACGAAAAAATCAAAATAAATTGCCATCGAAATGTTGTCATATTTTACCACATTGGAAGGAAAAAGGCCTAAAATTAGACTTAACATATTTCCCGAAACTATATAATAGAGTACTTCAATAAACCAATGCTATTATATTATGACTCATAATTAGTGAGGTGGAGGAGGTACGATGATTCACAGCTGGCCGAAGAGCAGAGTCATAAATCAGGCACAAATGACGCGTACTTTGACTAGTTCAGTGAATTTTTCTGCGCTCATTGTTGATTGAAAGCATTCCGAAAGATTTTTCACCGCACCGACCACCTTGAAAACAGCTTCATGGATTGTATCACCACGTCTGTCGAATTCATAACCAGCGGGTAGACCGTTCTGCTGTTCGCTTAAAATTGGCTGACTGCCAGAGAGCGAATTCAGATGATGTGTGCGAACCGTTGAAAGTGCTGGCAGAGGTAGCTGCAAATTGCGTTTCTCAGCTTTTTTTTTTAGAGAAAGCGGGTAAAAATAAACCGAATGCACATCTTTTTCTAGTCAAACTAAAGGTTTACGTTCTAAATATACTAAAAAAAACGAGAAAAAAGCACTACAGCATTTTCTGACCACTATTAAACTCCTGTGGCTATAAATAGCCCGAGAAAGTACGATGCATCGAACATTTTTTTTCAAAAAAAAGTGCCTTATCTTCGGATAACTACCCAATTATAAGCACAGCAATTCCAGAAATTATTGGTGTAAGAACGTATTATGATGAAAAATAATACATCAAAGTGCAAATAACTCATTACCAGCTTCTCTTCCTCTTCTTCAAGCCATTTATCGTCTTCCTCAGACTGAATTTTTTGTTGTTCCAGTGTACGCCACAGGGTAGATGTTGGCATCGCTGAGGAATCGACTTTCAGTAGCGGTGCCACCTTAATTAGCTTACAAAAATTTTTTTTTCTTCATACTCAATTCTAGCAATTCAAGTTTATTTAATTAAATAGAAGAACAGAAGGATTTAACTTGAATATCACGTATATGAAGACATTTTATGATGCAGTTTGTTCATGAAACTAAAATCAGCGAAGAAATCACCTTCAAGAAGCCATTTGCGTGACTCTCCTCCGAAAGCATTGCACTCAATTCCTGCAAAAAAAAAAAAATCACTGATTTAAAGCCAGAACCAAAGAAAGATAAGAAGGGAGGTGCTGCAGGGGACTTACACTGTCTGAGGGCGCAGTCAGCAAACCGTATGGCACTTGGCAGTCAATCTGATCGAGCAGGAAACCGATATATCGATTCACTTCAACTATTGTCGGCCTCTTTGAAGGCTCAAATTCCCACATACGCCTTAAAATGTCAAAATTTTATGGCATATAAAATCACTTTTCATCCGTCTCTGCTAAGGAAAGCACTAACATTAGAAGACTATAGAGCACTTGCGGGCAACTATCAGGTCGTTCCAATCGTTTTCCCGCTTCAACTTCCAGTATAACATTATGGTTACGAACATCTCGCCATGGTTTGATACCATACGTTAATATTTCCCACATACATACACCTGCAACACCCGCAAGAAAGTTTCAATTTTGATAAAAAATAGAAAATTTTTGAAATAGAAAGTTAGAAAAGTTAATAGAAAATAGAAAGTTTTTTTAGTTTCAAGTTTCAATCTTTTTTTAAATAGTTATAGAATGCGGACACATCATCCCATAACAATATAATTATCAATTATGAGTCAATGGCTAACCAGTACAATAACAAAATTTATCATCAATCTTTTGCAAAGATCAGATTTTCTTATTATTTTACTTTTGTAAACATTACTTCAACAAGTACACATTCCCTTCGCAATTATGTCATAAAAAGCGCTCTCTCGAACTTACTTTACTCTTTTGGAATAGAGCAAATCATCTAGTTGAGTAACAAAACTTTGGTGAATGGTACTCAGAAAATGCTCGAATTGACTGTTTTTCTTAAAACATCACTTCGCAATACTCCCTATCAGCTTGCCGATAAATGGGTCTTCAAAAGAGGGAGCGAGCGACTGCCTTGTTAGCGTCTGACTGTTATTGGCATGTGTTACGAGTTGGAGTAATTCTGGACATTTTCATCTTTTTCAGCGGATATGGAGCATTTTTTACTATTATTTTTAGCATCTCATATTCAAAAAAGCAGTTTTCAACAAATAAATTCAAAAACTTCAAACATACCAAACATCCAAATATCGGTTGCTGTACTGAAACGCCTGTAGTTGATCGATTCAGGTGCCATCCACTTTATCGGAAGTTTGCCTCGCGTCGCTGTAACCATTTTCAACAACTGTTTTTACGACTTATTTTGAAGTCATTGCTTTTCAGTTCGAATATATTCTTGCTGATAAATACGACGTTCGAATCTCCCATTCACTCACTTACAGTGCCCAAAGTTTTTGATAAGCAAGCTCCAAAATTATCCTCAAAACAGCACTTACAAACGTAGAATTTTTCTTCCTCGACATATCTGCTGAGGCCAAAATCCGATAATTTAACGCAACGAGGCGACGATACAAGCACATTACGGGCAGCGATGTCACGATGCACGCATTTGCATGTATGCAAATACAATATCGCCGAACTCAGTTGCTGAGTGAACAGAAGTTGTATGGACAAGTCGATTGTGCTGCGATTCTGTAGCAAATACTGCCTCAGCTGCAAAACTGCCATCAAAAGAGTAACTCGGACACACACCACACAATTCGGCTTTCACAGAATCCAAGAGAACTGGAAATGCCCAAATACATTCGTACGAGAAGGGAGAAACGAATGGGGAAATGCCAGCAGATCACAAAAAAAGAAGTGAAAATGAGATAATAAAAAGAAATGCACAGAAATTTTAATTCTGCGAAAGCCGAAATCTGTGTCGAAGGTTTCTTAGCAACTAGGGAAAAGTCGTGGGCAAGTAGAAAAGGAGGAGAATTTTTATGTACTGCCGAAAATCAAACTTGTACCCTGCTGGTTGAAATATATAATCGTTTTGAATATATTTTGATTATAGCTCCTGTTTTGATTGTTAAAGCTTAGTTAAGGCTAAATTATAGAATTTCAGAGCCATAAACCTACGCCAATGGCTGTCTTATAATGTTTTAATGCATTTATGCAGTATTTAATAAAATAAATCAAAAATGTTTAAAAGTTCTACAAAGATTTTTGTAAGAAAAAGATGGCTACAGCCTGATGTGAAACTAAAGATCAAAGCTGGAAAACACCTATGACCGTTTTTAGGAGGCAACACAACTAAATAAATGTTTTAACAGATTCAAATGAAAGCCATATGTGCAGACTTCGCCGTATGGTGCGAGTTCCATAACAATCCAAAGAGGTGTATCCATGCAAATCCCCACCAGTGCAATAATGTGCTCGTGACGAAAGCGTTGCATTGCATCTAAAAGAGCAAAATATTGCGGTAAATCAAAATGCACACTGAAAAGAAAAGAAATTGTAGTTTCTTAAGCAGAAATATTTTCCCAAGCTTCAGTTCGATAAATTCGCTCTAGGGCCAAAATATCGCTCTATGAAATCAACGTGTTAGGACAAAGCGAAGTCTAAAAGCTACTTCCAGCGGCTAAACTACAAAAGTATGAAATCGAAAAAAAAGGAAAACAAGCTTCCGGCATTAAATGGTTCTGGAGAAGGAAAGTTATCAACGTACAGCAAACTTACAGGCTTCTTCCAAAAAATTCTGCCGTTCGGTCGGTTCACTGTCCACTTTGCACACTTTCACAGCAACAGATTGCATTTGACCGTCCTCAAAAAATCTTTATGTCACTACCGGAAAATGCTTACTGAAAGTAGAAAGTAAACTCTAAATCATCCATACCTCTTTTGTGAATTTCCCTCTGTATACATTGCCGAACTGGCCATCACCTAGCAATTCTTCGAGTGTTACTTGCGATCGATTCATGTGCAAATTTGCATCTAAATTTGAGTTTTATTAGAGGATGGATTATTGAAATAAGTGAAACAATTCGGTTTTGAAATTCGCTAGGCAAGCACTGCTTCCAGGTATTCCAAAAATTTGCTTCTTCACATTTCTTTTTATTTATGTGACAATTTTTATTCTTTATTTTTTGTTATCACATTTCCTTCAGCACCCAGCAAGTTT